ATGTCTCTACATGAGCTATAGTCTAAACTCCTAGTATCCCCCTTAGTAACCCCTACAGTAGTCCCCTATATAATCCCTTATATAAACCCCTTTAAGGAGTTTAGACCCTAAACCCTAAATAATCCCTTATATAACCCCCACTGAAGGAGTTTAGACTATAGCTCATATGGAACCCATCTGATAACTGTCCGCCTGTAGATGGCCTCAAAGCGGCACCGCGCAGCGCCTAAGGGTTTTCAGAGGCCCAGTAGGGTTTAGGGTTTAGGGTTTAGGGTTTAGAGTTTAGGGTTTAGGGTTTAGGGTTTAGGGGTTAGGGGTTAGGGACGAAGTACCTGCTGTCAGGGTCCATATTCCCACTGAAGGGTACTAGAAGGGTTTTGGTCGAGACCCTTTTGGTAAATCCTTGAGCCAGGCTGGCTCCTTGATCTAGAAACCCCAAACCCTAAACCCTAAACCTGCATCTCGCGACCCTGAACCAAAGACCCAACTCCTCAAACAAAAGCCCTTAAACTCCAACACCTATACCAGGAAAAGCCTTGAGCAACGGGCGGCTAGGCTCCATTGCAATATCAATTAGAATTGGCCGACCTGATGTGCCTTCACTTGCCTTTTAGATGTCACTTTACGCGAAGAAGTCGATTCCCAAACCACTGGAAACAGCAGCCCTTGCTTTTTTTTAGCGTTTCGTTGTCTTGGTGTTTTATGTGTGAGAGAGTGCCCGTGGGTCGTGTTTTACATTATCTAACCCTCCGCCCGGCCAGTTTCATCCCGCCATTCAAGCTTGAATTGTGTCTCTAAACTGCACACTAAGCCCAACTCCTGATCCCTAAGCTAAGCCCTTATTAGACTTAAAGCCTGGAACCCCAGGCCTCATTACAAAAATCCTCCACCCTAATCCCCCAACCTTAATCCCCAAGCCCTAAGCCCCTAGGCTAGCCTGCTGGTGGCATTTTCTGCTAACCCCCATTGCTGCAGTGGATGTGGCAGTGGGAAGCGATGGAAGCATGCCTCAACTCTTGTTTGGGGTTTAGGACTTTGGGTTTTGGACGTGGGATTCAGAATTTAAGCTTCAGGGTTTAGGGCACTCATGTAGCTTTTTGACAATAAAGCTTTTGGATCACACCACCTAGGATGGGACCCCAAACCTTTGTTTGGTTGCAAGCCTTGGCATAAGGACGTTATGGGATCCTAACTTTAAAGGGGGTTCTGGCTGCCAAATCCCCTCATTATTGAAGCGTGTCTGAACAGTCTGGACTTCCATGGGATCAATTGGTTTCAGGCCAATGTGAACAAGTCAGGAAAGATTCGGACAATACGGCCCTTTTTTCGTGTTTACAGGCACAACCAGTGGAAGAAGAAGTCGTGGTCGTCGTGGTCGTCGTGGTCGTTGTCGTCG